CAAAAAACTTACATATATATATATGTGTAAAAGCAGCGAGGTAAACTGGATCAAATGCATGATAAAAGATGAATTACAAACATCATGGCAAAATGACTTTCACTTCCCTTAAGATACATCAGGTCTTCAGACATGTTTATGCACTTATAACTTCAGAAGGTCACTGATTCATGTAAGGATATGCATATGATAATATGAAACGTACATCTTATTTAGCAGTTAACATAACCTCAGATATTTCATTTTATCTAGAGCTTTAATATATCGTAACGCTAGCATCCATAACTTACATACTACACACTATGGACAAACCTAATAGACAAACGTTTTTGAATCAAAAGTTTAAATCCCAACTAATGAAAATATCTACTTATATATTTCTCTCTCTCTCTCTCTCTCTCTCTCTATATATATATATATATATATGCATATTATAATCGTAAATTAATACTGGTCTTTATCCTTTTCGCATAGCACTAGCATTAATTTGATAGACAGATAAGTAGTAATAACAGTGCAACTTTACCATGGTTTACTCTGATTAAAAATCAATGTAATAGAGAGAATAATCCTTCTAAGTAAAAGTAGGAAAAAACACACTCTAATAATGGACACGTTTTCCACCTGTAAATATTGAGCAGGTACATCTAATAGAATATCTGGCGTTAAATAAGCATTTTTTCTCTTATAACTACATGTATCTTCGTAATGAATAGTCTGTAATCTTAGTTTTCAGTAGTATATTACTTCTACAGAATATTACAGGGAATTAATTCATTTCGTGTTTCTTCCATTACCCAAAATTGAATGCATCTGATAATCACTTATTACAGAATATACGTAATGTTTGTTTTTTCACCCCATTTGTATATATTAAATACCAACTAAATACTGTAGTAGCATTGTATTTTTTATGTATATCTTTACAATTTTTACCAATTAGTGTTGCTAAAAAATAAAAAAAATCGCGCACATGCCCCATATAATGGACAAATGCCTTTATTTCATAAACATTAAGATACGTGACCCAAAATCAAATCAAAATTACGGCTTAAATTACTTCCTGTGCAAACCATTAAAGTATATACTACGGTTCTCTATGGATTTTATCTAAAGATCTCGCTAAATATTAGACTAATCTTTTTCATCATATGTTTAGTTCGATCAGTGTACCTGTAATATCATCTGTAAAAAAAAATATTGAGATCCATCATCTTATTAGCTTCGTCAGCGAGTCCCATCTTATTCCCTGAAGTCAGTTCGTTTACTTTAGATGTAAGGCGTAGGTTATAGAATCTGAATAATTTAAATTCCCAAACGACATATCCATATTACGTAGTTGAATCGCAAAATAAAAAACTCGATAACTCGAGACTTAACTTCTTCAGTGTAATTTATATATATTTATACTCATCTCAAGAATAAAGTGTTTATTTTCTAATACTGAATACTTCTAGTTTGACCAGTATGATAAATTTGTTGTATTAATTATTGAACTAATTTGTACTTCTGATCTATGTAGATGGCCTTTTTGATTATTGAATTAAGTTGTAGTTCTGATCTCTGTAGATAGCCTTTATGATTATTGAATTAATTTGTAGTTCTGATCTATGTAGATAGCCGTTTTGATTGTTAAATTAATTTGTAGTTTTGATCTATGTAGATAGCCTTTTTGATTATTAAATTAACTTGTAGTTCTGATCTATGTAGATAGCCTTTTTGATTATTGAATTAATTTGTAGTCCTGATCTATGTAGATAGCCTTTTTGATTATTAAATTAATTTGTAGTTCTGTCTATGTAGATAGCCTTTTTAATTATTGAATTAACTTCTAATTATGATATATGTGGATAGCCTGTTTTAATTATTGAATTAATTTGTAGTTCTGATATATGTAAATAGCCTGTTTTAATTATTGAATTAACTTGTAGTTCTGATCTATGTAGATAGCCTGTTTTCATCGGAAGTTAATGATAATTCTGAAAACACTCCTGTTAATGCGATAGGTTTCTTTTTTGAGTGATTCAACTGATTTTTAGATAAATTACTGAGCCCACTTATATTTTAAACATTATACATAAAATTATAGTTTCACAGAATATCCAAAAATCTATATTTTGGTCTAATGAAGTTAAAATAAACTTAAAATAGTTGATTGTTACTTTGTTTCTCAGTGATAAAACAGCAAACGTCACTTAACTGTTACAGAGTAACCCAAGAACATGAAACGGTACTCTAATGTTTGCGTACAAAAAGCGATGCGTGTCTTATCGCCATCGCTCTACTTGACCGAATGAGTTAAAAAAGTTATCAGTTTTATCTGATAAAATAAGACAATAAGTCACAAATATGGCTGCAATTTAGAAAACTTCCCCAATCATTTTCAGAAAACTAAACAAATTACATTGGAAATGTGAGTTCAGGGCTTAGAAGCTTCACGAAGAGACAATAAGGGGAACCACAATGAAAGTACTGGGCTTAAAATACGCTTTGTATATTTCCACGATTGAAGAACTTATTCGAATATAAGAAAAAAAAATCATGTTGGAATATGATCGTAAAGTTTCATTAACCGTTCTAAAATTTATCTGACTATATTTTATTGCACGAGAATCATTTTATGAACGTTTCATAACAAAGCAATCCAACTTTCAATGTGTATCGAAGGCACAGATGTTTAGCTCTTGCTCGGCTATGGTTAAAGAACTATAAATGCACGACATTGTCAGATATTCAAATTTTCTAGGTAAATGTGAATCTTCTTCTTCTTCTCTGAAAACTTTCATGTTCAATGCAGCACTAAACATTCATTATTTGTTGTAGGTCTATATGTACTATTGAACTTTCAGAAGAATAGCGAATATTTTTACCGTTAACTGCAATTTATGCAATGTTACTTCACGTACATATGATGAATTTTGTATAGCGATTTTGCGATAAATAATGCCCGTTGAAATTCTAAAAATTAATCAAAAGCATAGATCACATGTGTAATACGCTTCTGCATGCTATGATTTGTTTCTACTTGATTGTGTTCAGATTGAAATTTTAACAATTCCTTCACTGGTCGAAAATACAATATATGAGTTTTTAAGACAATGGTTTCCTATACAATGATATAAAGTGATATCTCTATAAGAACAGGAATCTGAAGCTCAAAGTAATAGTAATATCATCTTTATAAAGATAAGACTGTGTACTCTGAAAAGACAATAAATCATATGGCTTAATCCGCAAACTAGTTTTGAATAAGCTAATAAAATATTCAACTAAAAAAGAATATGTCAATGTATCAGACGTGCAGTGCGACTGTCACATAAACTTTAAAAATCTTGACGTACTATAACCTAGTTAACATTCATATTTTCCTTTCGGCATCTCCATTAAGTCTTAAAACACTGTTGTTTTTAACGTTTATTTTTATTTATATTCTAATGGAGCCAAACATCTGACAACATATTGGATTCAAAACTGAACCGTACTTCATTGGTAAAGTTCTGGAGTAATTCTATTCATGCATTTGTTTTTCAAAAGCGTTCATTATGTTAATTTTTCTTTCTGAAATGTCCTATAATATGACAAAGAGTATTCAATTACTTTCAACACATACATATGTATTCATATTACTTCAACGAACATAAATATTAAAGAAATTTAATACAGACATGGCAAAACAATACCTTGAATTATTATTTTATGTACTATAACCATTTATGCTGTTATATACAAGTATATATATATATATATATATATGCACACACGCATGCATAAACGCACACACACACGCATATTTATATGTGTATGTGTGTTTAGATGGACTGACCAACTGTTAAGTTTTAGCTTTAAATGGTTGTTACATTACCGTTGCTATAAAATCACGCTCCGCGAATTGAGGCCGTAAATGTGACAGTCAAATCTTGCAATTCTGTCAGACAAAAGCAGCCCAAGAGGATGCTGTTTGACTATAGCTGCCTTTCTTAGTCTATAAGCTCCAACATTAAGGAAGGTTTTGCGCAGTTACCCCTTTTATAGTTTTAAACAAAAATTCTAAACCAAAAAAGCAAATTTACATTAAATTCCTTTTGCCACAGAAACGCGCTCCACTGCATTGGATCAGAAAATAATCGCTCAAGAGTTGGGGGAGGCTGTTACTTTGCGCGAAAATTCTAAGCCAAATCAAAATAAAATTTAAAATAAACTATGGAATTTATGGATCAAATAAATGGTATACAAACTTTTTTAATGACACAAATTATGAATAGAGAATTAAAGTAACATGTTGCCAATAAGCCTAACAGCTAAATCGAGCTCTTTATAATAGCTATACAATGTAAGATTACCACATCTGTAGTTGATTTGCAGAGATGTTTTAAAATATTCCGAGTATGATACAAGCAATACGTTATTACAAAATGTATTTCTGTTTATCACAGTACTGCTTGTCAGATAAATGGCAGATGTTCATTAATGCAGAGACCGTAGATTTATTCAACCTGCATTTTGTTTCATGAAAATATATCGATATGCTTATATATGTACTACTTTTGTCATAAACAAATAGAACATTTCATATGTATATATATAAATATTTAAAACACCGTGCACTTGTCTTCCACATGTATATGTGTATATAACTATCCTTCATTGTGTTCCACATGTATATGTGTATATAACTATCCTTCATTGTGTTCCACATGTATATGTGTGTATATAACTAACCTTCATTGTGTTCCACGTGTATATGTGTGTATAACTATCCTTCATTGTGTTCCACATGTATATGTGTATATAACTATCCTTCATTGTGTTCCACGTGTATATGTGTATATAACTATCCTTCTTTGTGTTCCACGTGTATATGTGTATATAACTATCCTTCATTGTGTTCCACATGTATATGTGTATATAACTATCCTTCATTGTGTTCCACATGTATATGTGTATATATAGCTATCTTTCATTGTGTTCCACATGTATATGTGTATATAACTATTCTTCAGACTTTGGTAAGAAGTACTTGGCCTTCCCTACTGGAGAACTACATATTCATAATGTTCAAGATATCGACGAAAAACGTCGTTACAAATGTCAGGTGAAAAATATTCTAACTGGAGAAAAAACAGAGAGTTTGTCATGGGCCAAACTCGTTCTTACAAGTAAGTTTTTAGTAATAATTTATCTTATTCCGTTGCACACAGCGTTAAAAAATATGTTGTAAAGTAAGTTATATTTAAGTAAGTTAATTTATATCATATTATAGTAAAGATCTTGTTCCAAAAGATCAGTCTCCTTTCCGTTAAATTCGTACTTTTGTTTATTTATAAATAACATTTTCCATAACATAATCAAATCCCTGGTCACATATTAAATGAAAAAGGTAACATAAGTTATGAATCAATAAGAAAATGTAATTTTTATAAATAATTCCCATGCAAAAGTTATGCTTGTGATTTTAATGTTCTCACGTGATCTACAATATATATATGTAAGAAAGTACCAGGTAACAAAAGCAAATTGTATAAAGGTGTGACCTGCAAATGTTACTCAAATTAAGTTCGTGACATTCTACCCTATTTGTTTCCTTTTATCCACTATGATCAGTGAAAAATGTTGTAATTGTTAACACCATGCTCTCCATTTTATACGAGCTCTCTCTTAACGTATAGATTCATTTTAAGGTTTGTTTTATAATTTGGCTCTTAATTTTTAATCTCGCAATTTAGTTATAAAAAATGGAGAAAGAAAAACTTGTATTCTTACACATTTATAATTCTCAGAACCTAGTAGCACATTTCCGCCTAGAATCCAAGAAGAAAACAGCGTAGTGGAAGTGCACGAAAGAGAAATCGCTAAGTTGCCATGCGCGGCGCATGGCTATCCTACACCAGAATATAACTGGTATCATCATGATGGTCACACCCTAAGTCCGGTTATTCTAGGGTCAAGGGTCACCCAATTACACGGGACGTTGATACTACGAGATGCAAGTATTCGTGACAACGGAAACTATGTATGTGTTACAAAAAATTCCCAGGGACAACAGCGAACAGAAAGAACTCTTACAGTCAGAGGTGAGATGTTTTGTAATGACAAAATAAATCTCATTGAATTATAAGTTTCTCCATTCATAACTAGCTACTATATCGGTTGCGTTCCCATATAATTTTCAGATTGTCTTTAAATATATGCTTTTTGTCTTGGTTTTATACAGAATAATTTTGTTTTAGCTTGTCAAAAATACATCCCATTTGGGCTACTTAATTTTTTAACACAATTTAATAATCAAAAACAAAAAACATGCTGTGCATACACTTGCGTTTATTGTACAAAAACAAAAGGTTTGATTGTAATATAATTTCTTTAGTAACACGCCATGTTGTTAAATACCTAAAAAGAATGTAAGTATAAAAAATACGCAACAAATGCATATGAGATGTATGTATGTATGTATACTTTCAGGTGTATCTATTGTATTAGTACTTCAAGACACTGGAGGACATGATTCACACACCTTTTTTCTTACACTCTGAAAAGAGAGTGATTTCACACTTTTTTGGATCTAAAGTACCGATACAGAGATGCATCCAAAAAAGTGTGAATTCACACCCTTAGTCAAGAAAGGTATTTTACACCCATTAACGAACTGTGAAATATCAACAAGTAATATTTTTAAGAAGCCATAGACAATACAAATGAGCTTAATTGTAAACTTGGATGAGTTACTGTTTTCTAGAAAAGTGTGTTAATAAAATTTTATATCTAACATAAAATTAGTTGAACGTAAGAAAGTTAGTTAAGTTTTTATTATTATTTTATTTTATTTTCATATACTACTTGCATGGCTATTGATTCTGTTTTTATAGTCAAACCTTTACACACATTATAGGAATGTGAACTTTATTTGTTTCAGATGCATTTTTAATGGTGTGAATTCTCATCTTGTCAACGACAAGTGGTGTATTTAACATACTGTTGGTGTAAACTTGCTTTGTAATCACTATGAGAAAAATGTACACACTGGATAGATGAAGTGAAGAAAAAGTGCCATTGGCCACTATTCAGTTCTTCACATTATATAGCCGCACAATAGCAGATATAATAAATAAACTTTGATCATTGTATAGGCTTCTCTCATAGTGACTACAAAGCACATTCACACCAACAGTATCTTTGATACTTTTCACTATGATAGAGATCCGGCTTTTTTCTCTTTGGTGCCCCCCAGTGGCACAGCGGTATCTCTGCTAAAAACCGTGTTTCGATACCCTTGGTGGGCAGAGCACAGATAGCCCATTGCGTAGCTTTGTGCTTAATTTACAAACAAACTCTCTTTGGTTAACTTGTGTTCGGGTTACTGGCGAGGAGTGGAATTTTCCGAAACTAATATAACCCAATAACACACATTAATCAAAGTGTAGCTTGAACTGGACCTCCCTTGAACTTATACTTCGAAATTAAACAATTATCGGAATACTAAGTTTATTTATTATATCTGCAATTGTGCGGCTATATAATGTGAAGAACTGAATAGTGGCCAATGACACTTTTTCTTTACTTTACCTATCCAGTGTATAGGTTTTTCTCATAGTGTCTACAAAGCACGTTCACACCAACTGTATGTTTTATACTTTTCACTATGATATAGGTCCAGTTTATCTCTCTTTGTTTAACTTGTGTTCAGGGTTACTGATGAAAGTGGAATTTTCTGAAACTAGTATAACCCAGTAACACACATTGATCAAAGTATAAGTTGAGCTGGACCTCCCTTGAACTTAGATTTCGAGATTAAATAATTTTCGGAATATTAAGTTTATTTATTAAGTGGTGTATTTCCTGAAATCATATCTCATTTACTCGGGCCCGGCATGGCCAGGTGGATAAGGCGCTCGACTCGCAATCT